TAACTATCTCTTCTTCCCCCAACTCCCCCTCCCTCCCTCCTGGAACCACATCCCCTACCCCCTTCTCCCCCGCTCTCCTTCCCCCCCTCCACCCCCTCCTTATTAAAACACATCCTCTCTCGCCTCTCCTTTCCGACCCAACCACTCATATCAGCTTGGGTTGTCGACATTTATGTAAGAAGAGTAGTTTTGAGGCGCCTCAGAACATTTATATAAGAAGAGTAGTTTTGAGGCGCCTCAAAACATTTATATAAGAAGAGCTCCATTTTGGATTCATTTCGGAGCCACTACTGTCCCCTTTACCCCCTCCTTCACTTTCCCCCCTCTCCCCTACCCTTCCTGGGTCAGCGTCATCTCAGCTTTCATTTTAGCCATGTGAATGAAAAGTGCACCATACAGTGCGTTTATTCACCCAAACGACTAGTGCCCTCTTTTCCCCCCTTCATTTCCCCCCTCTCCCCTACCCTACCCTGCCGAGCGCCCCTCTCAGCTTAGGGTTTCGGGTTTAGGATTGTAGCCACGTAAAATTGAAGAGCGCACCATGATCTACAATTGTTTTCCCAAACCACTAGTGCCCCCCTTTTCCTCTCCACTTTTCCCCGTCTCCCCTACCCTTCACGGCTAGCCTTATCTCAGATTAGATTGAAGCCTTGTGAATGAGAAGAGCACCACGTGTTCAGTCATTTTTCCAAACCACCTGTGCCCCTTTCCCCCCCTCCTTCACTTTCCCCCTCTCCCCTACCCTTCCCGGCCAGCATTATCCCAGAACACTACCCTCTGCTTACATCCCCCCCTTCCCAAGCCCTCATCCCCCTCTCTTCCCCTTTCCCCACACTCTGGCCAACCACCCGCCTGAGCTTGGATTGTCGCCATGGGTAGGCATATTGGAAATCATATCCCAGAACACAATATCCCCACCCCTTACTCCCCCCATTCCCGCCCTCCCCTTCCGCACCAACCGCCTTTCTCTGCTTGGATTGTCGCCACGTGTATGAGAAGAACGCCATATTGGAAATGAAATCCCATACCACTATCTCCCCACCCTTCCTGTTCCCCCTTTCCCCACCTCCCCTTCCCCCACCAACACCCCGTCTCTGCTTGGATTGTCGCCACGTGTATGAGAAGAGCGCAATATTGGAAAGAATATCCCGTAACACTAAATCCTCCCCACTCCAACATTCCCTCCTCGCCTTCCCTCACCAACACCCCGTCTCAGCTTGGATTGTCGCCACGTGTATGAGAAGAGCGCAATATTGCAAAACATATCCCAAAGCAACAATTGCCCCGTCTCTGGTGAGATTCCCGGCTACATCCGATTCTACCAACTAATATAACATGTTAAACTGCAATAGTGGCTCAATATATTTTCCTTTCTCCAACTCGTATGATTTCCCTGGTTGTGCGTGCATCAACTACTCCTTTCACCTTTCACGGTTCATGCTACATATATCATTCCTCTTTGTTTTTTACAGGTTGTCGTCAGAGGTTGAGCCGGGACCGCTTGGTGTGTGACACTGAATTGTTGATGGCTCTGAGGGAGCTACGTGCAAGGAAAGCCACTGCAACCGCAGCACCAGAAGAGATTGATGACCTGTAAAGACACAGCTGTTCAATCGCTAAGCTCCATGTATAATACCATGAGGACACAACTTTGGTATTTGTATAATAATGACGGAGGTTGAATGTTTGTACTAAGCATTTAGTGGGATTCGCATGACCTCCTTCCGTACAAAGTTGCAATCGAGGATGTGAAGGCTCTTTCGATCCCATTTCACGCACTGCGTTCGGAATGAGGCTCGAACTTGTAGTACAGAGTTCGACCCTACAGCCTCACGTTCGTTATCGAAAGCCACTAATCGTCACCGAGTGTGACGAATTGCAGGAGCATTTTTTTGAATGTCATAATGAGGTTCGAAGATTGAAACGCAGACCTGCGGTAACTGAAACCAGCTTGGGGTCTCCTGGTTGTAACACTGGTGTCCGAACACTCTCTCCGTTGAGGTGCAGGTGATGCTTTGATTCCTAGGGGCGCCAATGCGCCACGCAGAAGATTCTCAACGGCTTGTGTCACCCCAGCGCTACAACGAATGGCAGGATGAAATCGTTACAGTCACACCCCCCCGCCAGCTTGGCGCGCAGCGTGCCGTGCGCAGCCACATCCCGAGAAGCTTCCAGAACATGCAGTTGTCGCACGATCGCATGGCCGACACAAAACCGTCGCACTGTCGAGTGGTCTAGTCGCAGCACGAGCACGGGACGTGCTAGGAAGAACAGTATCACCACCATCTGCAGAGCCGGTAGCAGCAGTAGCAGCGGAACCGGTGGGAACGCAAAATCGGGGAAGAACAACCGGAAAGGCGGAGCGAAGGGCGCGGGAAAATCGGCGGTGACTGGTGCGGGTTCAGCGGCAGGAGGCGCGAGAAAGCAGGTAGAGTAAATTGAAATGGAAGCTTGGAGGAAGAGAGAACGGGAAGGATTGAAGCGGGAATTCGAGACAGGAAGCGACATTTAAGTTGATTCGAAAGTCACGAAGAGGAGGTTTGCTGTTAGGGGAGTTGGGAAAGACTACAGCGGGGTGGTGAGGAGAGGAGGTATTTGTTTTTGAGACGCTTCTTTTCTAAAAGCGGCTGCATTTGAGGTGCCTTAGGAATGGAAGGGTTGAGGGAAGACGAGAGGGGGAAAGAAAACTTTTGGGGAATCGAGAGAGACAAGGCCCTTCAAGCGGGGCTGAGGGAGGAAAGGAATAAGATGGGTTGAGGGGAGCTGTCTTTGTACATTGTTTGAGAGAAGGAAATTTTGGATGGCGATTTTTCTAGGGTTCTGAGACTTGGGGTTTAACGAGGGCAAATATGGTTTTGCAAGCACAGTTAAGAAGCGGATCAGGGTTGAAAGTATATTTAATTCTAGGGTTTGGATTAGACTCAGGGTTCGCAGTCTTGTAATTTTGCAAGGGTTCTCATCCCACATCTTCCGTATCCCACACACCCTTTACATACGTGCCTGCATCACTCATTAAAATGGAGCAGTTTCTTGCAAAGTACCCCATATCAATGGGATTCTTGAGTTGATTAGTACTTATCGCTGCAGTTTAGCGCGACTTACGAAAACACACATACCCCTCACTCACCCACAGCACACCTCTCATTGCCACATTTTTTTACAGACAACCAGAAGAGAGGAATCCGGATGTAATATTCCCACAACTCACATGCCCCTCCCCTCACCCCACGCCATCCCTCTCATTGACACAACGTCTCAATTCAGACAACCAGAAGAGAAGGGTCTGACGATGATAATGATCCCACCACTTGCATGTCACGTGCCTCTCTCTCACCCCACACCATCATCCCTCTCATTGGCACCATGTCTCTTTGCCGGCAACCAGAAGAGAGTGCTCTGACGATGATAATGATCCCACCACTCACATGTCACGTGCCCCTCTCTCTCTCATTGCCACTTCTCTCTTTGCATGCAACCAGAAGAGATGATTCCGACACTGATAATGACAGGGAGGTGTATTTTGAGGCGCCTCAAAATACACTGATAATGACAGGGAGGAGGAGAGATTTTGCTGTAGAGGTACAGAGTCTTGTCATGTTTATCACTGACGAGGTTGACGAAGCTGATTTCATCACTCACTTGCCATGCCCCTCTCTCACCCCACACCATCCCTCTCATTGCCACAATCGCTCGTTACAGACGACCAGAAGAGAGGAGTCTGATGAAGATACTGGCAGCGAGGAGGAGAGATTCTGGGGTAGGGGAGGGGGAGGAAGGGGGAGTGATATGGAGGAGGAGGATGATGAAGATGAGGAGGAGGATTCGGAGGAGGAAGAAGCGCTGAAGCTTCCCATGCCGAGCCCACCGGCTGGGTTTGTGTTGGACGATGAGGGAGAGGTGGTGCTGGCCGCTCCTGCCGACAGACGAACGCTCACCATTGTGAGTTTCTGTTGCTGTTACTGCCATAGCGGTTGGTTAGTTTGGTTACCATGTGTATCAATTGGTCCACCGTCCACCAGCGGGATCTGTCCTGGATGATGACGGGGAGGTGGTGCTGGCTGCTCCGGCCGAGAGGAGAACATTGACCATTGTGAGTACCTGTCTGCTGCTCCAGGCATAGCAGTTGTCTAGTTGGGTCACCAGGTGTATCAACTGGTGCATTCACCAGCGGGGTTTGTGTTGGACGATGAGGGGGAGGTGGCGCTGGCTGCTCCTGCTGAGAGGAGAACACTCAGCAGCACACACGCCCCCATCAGCACGATCCCATCACCAACCGCTACCTGGATTGTGTCATTCGACGTGCCTTCTCCAACCAACTAGCTTGACTTGCCCCTCATTGTCCCTAATTGCCCCTCATTGTCCCTAATTGACCCTCATTGTCCCTAATTGCCCCTCATTGTCCCTAATTGCCCCTCATTGTCCCTAATTGCCCCTCATTGTCCCTAATTGCCCCTCATTGTCCCTAATTGCCCCTCATTGTCCCTAATTGACCCTCATTGTCCCTAATTGCCCCTCATTGTCCCTAATTGCCCCTCATTGTCCCTAATTGCCCCTCATTGTCCCTAATTGACCCTCATTGTCCCTAATTGCCCCTCATTGTCCCTAATTGACCCTCATTGTCCCTAATTGCCCCTCATTGTCCCTAATTGACCCTCATTGTCCCTAATTGCCCCTCATTGTCCCTAATTGCCCCTCATTGTCCCTAATTGCCCCTCATTGTCCCTAATTGCCCCTCATTGTCCCCTCCACCACCCCCTCCCGTCAACATGCAGCACGATCCCATTACCAACCGCTACCTGGATTGTGTCATTCATTACCCTTCCCCCCCACACCAACCACCGCCTTCCCCACCCCTCCCTTACAGCTTTCCTTTCTGCCTAACACAGCATGATGCCCCATCGTTATCCTCCCTTACCCATGCTCCCTCCCTCATCTTCCACAACACAATATAACCAACTGCTTGTTGGATTGTGCGTTTTCCACTCTCTCATCCATCAATGATGCCCCGTCTCACATCTCCCCCCTTTCACCCCACCTTCCTCTTCACCCACTGTCTGCAGCACGATCCCATCACCAACCGCTCGCTGGATTGTGACATTCGATATCCCATCCTATCCTACTCTTCCACCCTTCCCCCCTCCCTGACGGTTTTCCTATGCCCTTTTGCCATGCTCGTTCCCCCTTCTCTGCAGCACGACCCCATCACCAACCGCTCACTGGATTGTGTCATTCGACGTGCCTTCTCCAACTCGCTCGGCGTCCCCTTCTTCCTTCTGCACCCCCTCGACACGTGCGTTCCCTTTCTCTTCGTGGCTATACTTGAAACCTCTCATACTCATTCATTTCCTCCTGCTTCACCCTCTCGACAAGTGTGAGTGAGTCCCTCTCTCTCCTGCACCTGATCCGCCTCCAGGCGTCTTTTAATTCACATAAGAAATCACCATGTGTGCATGCGAAGGATGTTGTATGCATGCCACGTCATCTGCCATGTCATCCCATGTCATGTCATCCCATGTCATGTCATCCCATGTCATGTCATCCCATGTCATGCCATCCCATGTGATGTCATCCCATGTCATGTCATCCCATGTCATGTCATCCCATGTCATGCCATCCCATGCCGCATCGTCTCATGCCACGCCATCCCATGTCACTCCAGCCCTATAAATGTTCTTCCGCATCTCGGGGAGAACAGGCGAGGTGCAGGAGGTGGACGAGAAGGAGGCAGAGAGAGGATCAGGATCAGGCTCCCCCTTCTCTCCACCCGCCACTCCCTCCAGCCAGCCCCATCATGTTCTTCCGCATCCCTGGACAGACGGGCAAGCTGCAGGAGGTGGATGATGAGGAGGCGGAGCGCATCATGCCTCTCCCCCCTCTCCTCCTTTCCCCCCACCCCCTCCTCTACTTCTCTCCGCCCATCACTCCAGCCTTATGATGTTTTTCCGCATCTCGGGGAGAACAGGCGAGCTGCAAGAAGTGGATGATGGGGAGGCGGAGCGAATCATGCCCGCTTTCACTCTCTTTTTCTTCACTCTCTCTCTCCACCTCTCCGTCCAGTCCAATCATGTTCTTCCGCATCTCGGGAAGAACCGGCGAGCTACAGGAGGTGGATGATGAGGAGGCGGAGAGGATCATGCCCGCTGCAGCATACGCTCTAGCGAAGAAGAGCCTGCACCTGACGCCATCCGGGTGAGATAAAAGTGGCAGACTGATGCGGTGAGGGGCTGACAGGGGTGACAGGCTGTTGGAGACTGCAGCTGCAAGAGGTGAATGATGAGGAGGCGACTTTTGAGAATTCTCAAAAGCGCATCGCATCATGCCCGCGGGCCCGCATGCGTTAGGTGCGGGCTTCTCTTGGCTAATGCATGCGGCGACTTTTTAAGAATTCTCATGCATGCGACTTTTGGCTAATGATGCGCATCAGGCCCGCGGCGCCGCATGCATTAGCCAAGAGGAGCCCGCACCTGACGCCATCCCTTTATCCACACACCCCCTTCCCCGCCCCCCCGCCCTTTGTGATTTTTTGGTCGACTCAAGAATCAGCTCCGGCTATTGTCACTCAAGAAGAGCCTTCACCTGACTCCATCCCGGTTTCCTCCATCCCCTCCACCCCCCTGCCCTTCCATCCCTCCTCGCAGCTTCACACTCACCCTCAGAGGAGGCATCTGCTTCATTCTAGCAACTCCAAAGATTGATTCTGCTTCAATCCCACACCCTCGATCCAATCCAACCTCCCATCCTCTCCTCCCCCATTTTCGATCCCTCCTCGCAGCTTCACCCTCACTCTCAGAAGCGCCATCTGTGTTACCTTGAGTGTGTCCAAGATTGGCTCTGCGTTCCTCTCATCGCCCTTTTCTTCCTCCTCTTCCCACACTTGACACCCCCGCATCAATCTCCCTCGTCTCCTTGCAGATTCACCCTCACTCTCAGAGGCGCCATCTGCTTCACAGAGGATGACGTCATCAACCTGGACACTGGTGAGGTCATGTTCGTGTCTATTCGAAAGATGTGTTTTTCAAATGCTGCGTTCTCTCCTTTCTTTCTTCCTTCCTCTCGTATTCCCCTGTTTCTTTTATTATTACTATGATCATTATTTTATTATTCTGGTTAGGCGGATCTACACTCTTCCTTCCTCTTGCATGCCCTGTGCTGTGCACTTGTTGCAACCGCAGAGCTGGGGTTTGGCATCGGGGGCTCTTTGGCTGAAGGGGTTGACATCACCACCTTCCTGTCTGTGAGTTCTACTTCTCCTAGCGGTTTCAAAGGTGGTTCAAAGTGATTTGAGGTGGTTATCGATGGGTTGAGTGGATTCTAGAAAGCACCCTACACCGAGACTGCAGAGCTGGGGTTTGGCATCAGTGCTTCAAAGTGGTTCGAAGTGGATTGAAGTGGTTTGCTCCCTCAATGCAAACCAACCCCCCTGCACCCAACCCAACCCCTCGCCAGGGCGGCCAGGAGTACATGATTTACACGCTCTGTAACCCTCCCATACTCGTCAAATGTACATAGAATACAAGTACATAGGATTTATCCCTGCGAGCACAAGTACATAGAATACACGCCCTTCGTTCGACCCTCACATGTTAGTCTGACCTGACTGACACTACCCATCACTCCTCCGCTATCCATGCCAATGCATCTGCCCTGATACCATCCTGTCACCACCCCCACCAGGGCGGGCAGGAGTACATGATCTACACGCCCTTCGACCCTCTCATGCTATTCTGACAGACACTATGCATCACTCTTCCCCTAACATTTCCCTACTTCCAACCCCCCATCCCCACCAGGGCGGCCAAGAGTACATGATCTACACGCCCTTCGACCCGCTCATGTTTGTTGCATACAAGGTACGGAGGACCCCTCTTTTGACTTTCAATCCGTCCTCGATACTGACAGACAGACTCTTTGTTGCTGCCCGTGTCCCTCTGTGGCTTTCAATCGGTATCTTGTTGCGCTTACCTCCGTGGTTCAATAATTTCGAACTTTATCATCGCACTGTGTCCCCTTTTATCCTGTGTCTTTTTAATTCGTTCCCAATCAGGACCCTTAGACCAGTGAGATTCTTGTTGCTGAAATTTGAGTCGACTAAAAAATTGTCCCCATGATCCCTTGTCTTCTTGATTTATTCCCGATCAGGACCCTAAGAGCAGTGAGATTCTTGTGGCTGAAGATCCTGTAAGTCCATTTTGGTCTTTAGTTTTTATGTGTTTATTTATTTATTTCCTTTATTGCGCTATGTTTCGTTAATATATAAAAAACAAGTGTACAGCCAATATCACATTGGTTTTAATCTCCCTCCCTCTCTCATCCCCACAGGAGCTTCTGAACGATCCAAAGGTGTTGGATGCGATCGATGAGGAGCAGCAGTTCCAAGCCATGGTGGTGAGTTGTGCTGGTGATGCTGTGCTGTGGTGTGTATCGATTGATGCTCTTGAGGTGTTTATGCGATCGGCGAGGAGCAGCAGTTCCAAGCCATGGTGGTGAGTTGTGCTGGTGATGCTGTGCTGTGGTGTGTATCGATTGATGCTCTTGAGGTGTTTATGCGATCGGCGAGGAGCAGCAGTTCCAAGCCATGGTGGTGAGTTGTGCTGGTGATGCTGTGCTGTGGTGTGTATCGATTGATGCTCTTGAGGTGTTTATGCGATCGGCGAGGAGCAGCAGTTCCAAGCCATGCTGAGTGGTGCTGGTGATGCTGTGCTGTGATGGTGGTACTCTGTTCTGTGATGTGTAAGCCGTGGAGTGTTGTGAAGTATGCTCTTGTGTTGAATGCGATAGATGAGGAGCAGCAGTTTTAAGCCATGGTGGTGAGTTGTGGTGATGATGCTGTGCTGTGCTGGGGTGGTGGTGTGTTGTGGTGCTGTGCCGTGATCATGACTCAAACCGTGACATTAAGGTGTTGGATGCGATAGATGAGAAGCAGCAGTTCCAAGCCAAGGTGGTGAGCTGTGCTGGGGTGATGTGGGGTGGTGTGGTGCTAATGTGGTGTGATGTGGTGCTGGTGTGCTGTGGTGCTGGGGTGGTGTGGTGCTGCGGTGCTGTGCTCTGATCATGACTCAAACCATGCCATTTAGGTGTTGAATGCTATAGACGAGGAGCAGCAGTTTCAAGCCATTCCTCTACCCCTCCCCCCCTCCACTCTCCTCCCCTTTCCAGGAGGCAGAGGAGGAGATGGAGGCAACACTGGAGCAGACAGCGAGACAGGCACCCTTGCGTTCCCATAACCCTCCGGCTCTCCTTCCCCTCTCGTACAATCCTCTCTCCCTTTCCTCTGCTCTCCATGTATATCCTTTCCAGGAGGCAGAGGAGGAGATGGAGGCAACACTGGAGCAGACAGCAAGGCAGCCACCCCCGAAGAGCAGGCAGCAGCAGCAGCAGGCACCTGTCAGCACAAGGAGAGGCCGATAGTTTTCTACAGTACTCTTAGGAATAAATACAGTACACAAGGAAGAGGCCGTGCGTGCAGGAACTCATGCAAGCCGATGCATCAGATGATGTTATTGATTTTGAAAATAGGATATACGGTACTTGTAAGGACAAGCCGATAATAGGCCATACGGACAAGTGTATCCCTGCATCCGGGGCCTAATGGACATCTGTTTTCTATGGTAAATGCAGCGTGATGCTCTGATTGCGATTCGTTAAGATGCTTCACATTCCAGATCATTCAATTTGATTTTAGACAGTAAACTTAGAGAAAACTCCCTTGTCACGAGAAATCACTGCACTGACTGACGCAGGGCACAGAAGGATATTTTCCACGCAGTGATTTGAGCAACTTACGCTGACATGATTTGTTTTAGTAGACTCATTTATCAATCCACTACCACATCAAATGGTCTGAAAGGCTCGTCCAGGCGCTGCCAGCTGGAGGGTGTGTTTAGAGCGCCTCAAAGTCGTGTTGAAAGGTGCTCATACCGTAGCTTCAATTGTTATCTAGGAGGAAGCAATGAAGTCAACCACACATCTGATGCTCTGAAACAACTCGTCGAGCCGCTGCCAGCTGGATGCCTGGGCTTCTTTCAGGGCGGGCAACTTGGCGCGCAGCTGGGGGAATGATGAGATGGCTGACCCGTGGATCTGATGAGGGGAGAGACACAGGGGGAAGACAGGAAGACAGGGGGAACAAGATGCATTTGTATCGAGTCTGCTCAAATGAGATGCTCTGAGGGCAGGCAGCTTGGTACGCAGCTGGGGGAAGGAGGAGATGGCTGACCCGTGGATCTGATGAGTTGGTACGGCGAGAGAGAGAGACAGGGGGAAGCACAGGAAGGAGCGAGTTGGTAAGGTGGATGTGAATCTAATCGGCCAAAAGGGCTGCTCTGAGGGCGGGCAGCTTGGCGCGCAGCTGAGGGAAGGAGGAGATGGCTGACCCGTGGATCTGTTTGGGTGGAAAAGACACAGGGGCAACAGAGGAACACAAAGTCAGAAACGCCGTGCAGATCCCCTTGAGAGGGGCTGTCATCGACCATCTCGTTCGGCCGCAGCTCCAGATCTCATACCTTCAACCCTCAACTTTGTCCCCTAAACCCTGAACCCTCTGAATTACCCTAGCCCTAATCCACGCTCCCACACATGGTCATGCACCCACCGCCAGGAATCGGTGCGTCACGGCTTGCAGGAGTTCAAAGTCGCAGCTTCCTCGCAGCTTCCCCTCGAGGAAGGACATGAGGAGGGCCACCCGGTGCAGGTCTGCCGGGGAGGGGCTGTCATCGACGATCTCGATCGCCCGTAGCTCCAGATCAACGGCTGACGGTGACATGGCTTTCAGCAGGGCCATAGCTTGGGAGTCTGATTATAGAAGAGAGAGCAAAGTGGGGAAGAGAGAAGGGAAAGAGATTCGAGTGAGATGAGGAGGGAAAGAGAGTCGGGAAATCTCAAGATCAAACAGCACAAGCAAGGCCACTCACAGTCTGCTGGGTCGCCCTGTGCGCCTCTCCTGATGGCTCGCATCAATTCAGTGTCCATTTCAGATTCCTCCAGGCCTCCTCGCATCACCCTCCCATGCCTCCTCTTCCCCAACACCCCCCCCTTCTTCCCTCCCTCCCCTGCCCCCTCTCCTCCCTCCTCCCCTTCCTCTCCTCCCTCCTCCCCCTCCTCACTCCCCTCCTCTCCCTCCTCCTCCTCCTCCTCCCCTTCCTCCATCTCCGCATCTCCTTCACTCCCCCATCCAGGCAAAGCACCACCTGAAGAACCACCTGAAGAACCACCTGCAGCAGCATCAGCAGCAGCAGCAGCAGTGGCAGCACCAGTGCTCCCAGTAGGTTCGGCCGGACCAGCCGAGCCGGCAGGTTCGGCCGAGCCAGCAACAGCAGCAGCGGCCTGAGGAGGAGCAAAGTGAATCGCTCCGGAGAACGTCGGTACGGAGGGGAGGAAGAAGGGCGCCTGCTCTGGCTTCTTGGGCGGCTGAATAGGCCTGTTCCTCTCCTTTATCACATCTAGCATGACCAGATTCACCCACTGAGAGCGAGGCAGCATGGCACGGGATATCAGCCCGGGGACTTGCAGTTGCAGCTGCTGGTCCTGCTGGTTCTGGTTCTCCCCTGCAGCACCAGCAGCAGCAGCAGTAGCAGCGGCGGCGGCACCAGCGGCGGAGGCAGCGGCGGCAGTGGCGGCGGCACTGGTTACATATTCCCTTGCCTCTCTCGCTGCCTCCTCAGCAGTCCAATGCTCTGCTCTCGTCCCCCCCTCGCCCTTCCCTCTCCCCCCCTCCCCTTCCCCCCCACTCACTCCCCCTCTCCTTCCTCCCCCCTCCCCAGCTATAACAGCCACGTCCCCTGCCCCCACACCCCTCCCACCCACCCTCCTCCCTTCCTCATCCTCCTCCTCCCCCTCTGCTCCCTCGTTTGGGCCAATCAGAATCGGCATCTGGACAGCTGGCACGCTGCTATTGGTCCCGGTGCCGTCAGTGGTGGTGGCGGCAGGGAGCGAGAGGGGAGCCGGGAGGAGGTCTGAGTCGTCTATGCCAGAGTACATGGCCTTGTTCGCCCTGAGAGGGGTGGGAAGGAGGGGTGGGTAGCGGTACAAAGGGATGAAAGGGAGGAGGCAAGGGGAGAGGGGAGCCGGGAGGAGGTCCGAGTCGTCTATCCCAGAGTACATGGCCTTGTTGGCCCTGAGAGAGAAAGGGAGGGGAGGAGAGGGGTGGGAGAGGGTGTGGCAGCATAGGAGAAAGGGGATATGGGAGGTGAGCAAGAGAGGGGAGCCGGGAGAAGGTCCGAGTCGTCTATCCCTGAATACATGGCCTTGTTCGCCCTGAGAGAAGGGGGGAGGGATGGGAGGGGTGGGGAAAATGTGGGGAGAGTGTGGCAGCACAGGGGAAAGGGGGATATGCGAGGAGGTGTGCAAGAGAGGGGAGCAGGGAGGAGGTCGGAGTCGTCTATCCCAGAGTACATGGCCTTGTTCGCCCTGAGAGGCAGAAGGGGTGGATAAGCGGGGATGCGAGGGGGCAGAAGGGATGAGAGGGGTGCAGCAGTGGAGGAAGAGCGGAGCTGGGAGTAGGTTTGAATCGTCTATCCCAGAGTACATGGCCTTGTTCGCCCTGAGAGGGGTTTGGGGAGGAAGGGGGGTGGCAGGATAGATACGGAAAGGGAGGTGTGGGTGGTGATTAACAGTACACAGGTGAGAGCATGGTAGCGAGCGAGAGGGGAGCCGGGAGGAGGTCCGAGTCCTGAGAGGCAGAAGGGGTGGATAAGCAGGGATGCGAGGGGTCAGAAGGGATGAGAGGGGTGCAGAAGGGATGAGAGGGGGACAGAACGGATGAGAGGGGTGCAGCAGGGGAGGGAGAGCGGAGCAGGGAGTAGGTTCGAATCGTCTATCCCTCCCAGAGTACATGGCCTTGTTCGCCCTGAGAGAGGAGGAGAGCGGAGAGGGGAGAGGGTGGGGGTGATTAGAGGAAAGGTGTATAGGGGTGAGTGAGTCACGGTACAAAGGGATGAAAAGGACGGAATGGAAGCAAGAAGGTCGGCGATTGAGGTGGATGGTGACAAAGAGGTCTGAAGAGGGCAACACAGATAGATACTTGATTGAACAGGGTCCACGACAGCTGTCAGCACCTGATTGGAACGCATGCAACAACAACCGGACCGGCCACGTGCCTGCCGCAGCTAGATACTGTGATGTGATTACCTGAGTCGCTTCGCTGTAACCCTCACCAGAGGTATATATATGACATATATGCCTCTCCGGTTGAGATGGATGGTGGCGAGAAGGTCGGTAGGAGGAAGGAAGGCGACATGGATAGCCACGTGAAGTGAGGGTGTTTTTGAGACGTCTAGTTTTGAGACGTCTAGTTTTGAGACGTCTAGTTTTGAGACGTCTAGTTTTGAGACGTCTAGTTTTGAGACGTCTACTTTTGAGACGTCTAGTTTTGAGACGTCTAGTTTGAGACGTCTAGTTTTGAGATGTCTAGTTTTGAGACGTCTAGTTTTGAGACGTCTCAAAAACACCCTCATTTCACGAGGTCGGAGGAAGGCGACATGGACAGCCCCACCCACCACAGCTGTCAGCGGCACTTTCAATCAAGCCAAAGTACACCTCTCCAGAATCAAAAGGCACCTATCACAGCTGCTTGCTTGCGCTTGCACCTGGTCGGGCGACATGGATGGACAGGACAGCCCCACCCCACCCACCACAGCTGTCGGCACTTCCAATCAAGCCAAAGTACACCTCTCCAGACTCACAGCTGCAAGCGCTTGCAGCTGCTCACCAAAGGTAGATGCCTCGGCGGTTGAGGTGGATGGTGGCGAGAAGGTCCGAAGAGGGCGACATGGAGAGCCCCACCACAGCTGTCGGCACCTGCACCTCAAGATACACCACTCCAGAATCGACTTGACACTCACCAAAGGTAGATTCCGCGGCGGTTGAGGTGGATGGTGGCGGCACCTGGAAGGCGTCCAGCGGGCGGCCACAAGGCTGTCAACACCTAAGTACTCTGGTTTCCAGGACTAAGAGAAGCTGCTCACCAAAGGTATATGCCTCTGCGGTTCAAATGGATGGTGGCGAGAAGGTCCGAGGTGGGAGACATGGACAGCCCAACGACAGCTGTCGGCACCTGGAAGGCACTTCAACTCAAGGCGCTCACCCCCCCAGAGGCAGATTCGCTACAGCTAGACGACTGCACGTGCTCACCAGAGGTAGATGCCTCGGCGGTTGAGGTGGATGGTGGCGAGAAGGTCCGAAGTGGGAGACATGGAGAGCCCCACGACAGCTGTCGGCACCTGGAAGGCGTCCAGCGGCCGGCCACTCACGACGTGCCACGTGCGCACGGTCAGATCCATGGCTGACGTCAGCAGCCACCGGCCGTCGGGGCTCATCTCGACGGCTGTGATCCGATCCTCGTGGCCCGGGAACCGCCGAACCAGCCGGCCAGCCTCGGCGTCGAAGATGTAGGTCGTGAAATTCTCACAGGCGATCGCTGCTAGGTCTGGTGGGGAGAGTGATAGAGGGGGGGGATTAAAGGGAGGGGCGAGGGAATGTTGGCAGGGAGGAGAGAAGGAGATGCAAAGATGTAGGCTGAGAAATTCTTGCAGGCGATCGCTGCTAGGTCTGGTGGTGGAGACAGTGGAAGAGGGGGGGGGGTAGAGGGAGGGACAAGAAACCGTTGGCAGGGAGGGAGGAGGAGAAGCAAAGATGTAGGTAGAGAAATTCTCACAGGCGACTGCTGCTAGGTCTGGTGGTGGAGAGAGTGGGGGAGGAGGGGAGAAGAAGTCGGAGGGAAGATGCGATGGGGAAAAAAGGACAGTTGACAGGAACGAGAGGGATAGAGGAAAACGTAAGATGTAGGATGTGTGCTATTGTTCAACCCTTGCTCAAAATATCTTTTCTTCTAAGAATCTTCCAAGCCTGTAAGTCACTCACATCCGTTACTAGTAACAACAGGCTAGTGTTTTCAAAATTCAACACTCGGTATTGTCCTCCCAAACGTCTGTACCACGTTATACTCGTTACAAGCAGACTCACTGTTGCCGTGGTGGAACGTCATCTTCACTATCGGCGAGCCAACGTTCACATCGAACCGCAGGCGGCCTGACTTGAGAAACCAGACCTGGGAGGGAGGGTGAGAGTGCAAGAGAGGTGGCAGGAAACAGGAACAGGGATCACGAAATGGGGATTGAAGGGACAGGGCATGGGGGAGGGGAGGGCTGACGGCCGATGTGGTGTGGAACCTCACCTCCACTATAGGCGAGCCAGCGTTCACATCGAAGTCTCACGGATCAGTGCTCGCTCATGAAGAAGGGTAGCAGCAGGAGGAAGGGTGGTGTTAGCAAAGAGGCGATAGTCGTGTACTGCTGCCTCTTCCACTGGTAGGCCACACTCTCTACTGCCTGCATGTGCTCTCACAGTCTCTCTCACCTTCACATGCCCATCCCTGCTGCAGCTGATGCTGTGCCTGTTGAGAGCATCGATAGCACCGGCGGTCATTATGCTGCCATGTGCCGGGCTGTACTGCTGCTTCTTTGACTGGCAGGCCACTCAATGGCACATGCATTCACTGCCGCCACACCAGTGCTCTCTCTCACCTTGACTTGCTCTCACCTTCACATGCCCATCCCTGCCGCAGCTGATGCTGTGCCTGTTGAGCGAATCAATAGCAGCGCCAGTCACCATGCCGCCATGTGCCGGGCTGTACTGCTGCTTCTTTGACTGGCAGGCCACACTCTCCGCTCTGCTGCCTGCCAGTGCTCTCTCTCACCTTGACATGCCCGTCACCTTGCCGCCAGTCACCATGCTGCCATGTGCCGGGCTGTACTGCTGCTTCTCTGACTGGCAGGCCACACTCTCCGCTCTGCTGCCTGCCAGTGCTCTCTCTCACCTTGACATGCCCGTCACCTTGCCGCCAGTCACCATGCCGCCATGCGCCGGGCTGTACTGCTGCTTCTCTGACTGGCAGGCCACACTCTCCGCTCTGCTGCCTGCCAGTGCTCTCTCTCACCTTGACATGCCCGTCACCTTGCCGCCAGTCACCATGCCGCCATGCGCCGGGCTGTACTGCTGCTTCTCTGACTGGCAGGCCACACTCTCCGCTCTGCTGCCTGCCAGTGCTCTCTCTCACCTTGACATGCCCGTCACCTTGCCGCCAGTCACCATGCTGCCATGTGCCAGGCTGTACTGCTGCTTCTCTGACTGGCAGGCCACACTCTCCGCTCTGCTGCCTGCCAGTGCTCTCTCTCACCTTGACATGCCCGTCACCTTGCCGCCAGTCACCATGCCGCCATGCGCTGGACTGTACTGCTGCTTCTTTGACTGGCAGGCCACACTCTCCGCTCTGCTGCCTGCCAGTGCTCTCTCTCACCTTGACATGCCCGTCACCTTGCCGCCAGTCACCATGCCGCCATGCGCCGGGCTGTACTGCTGCTTCTCTGACTGGCAGGCCACACTCTCCGCTCTGCTGCCTGCCAGTGCTCTCTCTCACCTTGACATGCCCGTCACCTTGCCGCCAGTCACCATGCCGCCATGCGCCGGGCTGTACTGCTGCTTCTCTGACTGGCAGGCCACACTCTCTGCTCTGCTGCCTGCCAGTGCTCTCTCTCACCTTGACATGCCCGTCACCTTGCCGCCAGTCACCATGCCGCCATGCGCCGGGCTGTACTGCTGCTTCTTTGACTGGCAGGCCACACTCTCCGCTCTGCTGCCTGCCTGCATGTGCTCTTACAGTCTCTCTCACCTTGACATGCCCGTCTCTGCAGCAGCTGATGCTGTGCCTGTTGAGCGAATCAATAGCAGCGCCAGTCACCATGCCACCATGTGCCGGGCTGTACTGCTGCTTTTGCGTCTGGTATGCCACTCGATGCCGTGCTGACTGCAGGTGGAAGAGATGTAGATGGCCCGCTGAGGTGCCCACCAACGCAAAGTTGCCGCACATGCTTGCGGCACACGCCTGGTGTGTTGGGGAGAGAGGAGGGGGAGAGAGAGGACGAGGTGATGGATTGCTTGCTGCTTCCTCCACTGGTACGCCACGCGGTGCCGTGCTGACTGCAGGTGGAAGAGATGCAGATGGCCCGCTGACGTCCCTACTAGGGCAAAGTTCCCACACATGCTCGCAGCACACGCCTGGTGCGTTGGGAATGGGAGGGAAGGGAAGAGGGGAAGGCAAGAGGGGGCTGTACTGCTGCTTTTGCGTCTGGTATGCCACTCGGTGCCGTGCCGACTGCAGGTGGAAGAGATGTAGATGTCCCGCTGACGTCCCCACCAACGCAAAGTTGCCGCACATGCTGGCAGCACACGCCTGGCACAGGAGAGGAGGGGGGCATGGGGCAGATTGTTCATGCCGACTGCAGGTGGAAAATGCAGATGACCCGCTGAGGTGCCCACAAGGGCAAAGTTTCCGCACATGCTGGCAGCACATGCCTGGTGTTGGTGGAGGGGAGGGGCACAGGGGAGGGGGAGCGATGACACATGTTCTTCCACTGGTGGGTACGCCACTAGGCGCCTCAAGAACAGGGCAAAGAGGGGTGGAAAGCACAGACAGGTTCTAGAAGGAGGCAGGGCAACTCCCATACGAATGCTGCAGATGCTCTCATACAATCCCAACGCAGTCAGATCATACTCATTATAACCTCACTCCTTACAGTGGCAGGCGAGGGTTCAATTCCTGGAGGCACCAACTTTAGTTTGCCAATCACAAAGTTCCTCAACTCCCACACGAATGCAGCAAGATGTGTGTGTGATACCTGTGTGCAATTATACTCGTTACAACAAGCACATTCACTCCTTACAGTGGCTGGCGAGGGTTCAATTCCTGGCGGCACCAACTTCAGTTTGCCGATCACAAAGTTCCTCAATTCCCACACGAATGCTGCCGGGTTGCCCTCGTGGCAGGTGACAACGTTGGCCCAGTCTCTCTCCCGCACCTCAGCTGAACATGGGGGATACAGTGCGGTACAGAGGGGTACAGAGGGGTGACAAGGAGTGAAGAGGGAGTACAGAACGGTAACAAGTGGTAACAAGGTTAGAGGGAAGTAACCTTGTGTGAACATTCCAATGCTCCTCAGCTACCAGCATCTCTGCAGACCATCTTGGAAAGCTGTAGCTTCTCCTCCTGGGTCGACTCAAAAGTCACCCTTTCAACCAACCAGAGATAAGTGGTGGAGTTGTTGTGCTTACCAGCATCTATGCAGACCACCTTTGAGAGCTTCAGCTTCTCCTCCTGGAAAAGAAAGAGGGAGGCAGGGCAGAGGGAGACAGGACAGGGGGTACAACGAGCAGGGGCAGAGAGGCGGCAGAGAGGAGAAAGTTGAATCAGCGTTGTGAGAGTAGCGTGAACGATGCAGAGCAGACCACCGTTGAGAGCTTTATCTTCGCCTCCTGACAAAGAAAGGGGGAAGGGCAGGCAGACAGCGGGAGAGGCAGAGGAAGAAACGAAGAGAGACTTGAATTGAATTAACATTGAACGTTCCATTCCATCGGCTTGCTGTTTTTAAAATGTCAACGTTGACTCTTGCCTCAAAAGTCAATTCATACTGGCCCGCTCGCATGAACCATGCTGACCATGTTAGAGAGCTTGAGTCTCTCAAGTGGCCGAGAGGGGGCAGAAAGGGGGCATTGTTCTTCTGTCTCCCGTCTGACCCTCGTCCTCTTCCCCCAACCCCCACCTTCGCACTCATTTACTTCTCGCAACTGCACTGGAATTCATCAGTAAAACGCGGACATGAAATGAAACATACATCCTGATCCAGTCCAGGTTGACCCCTCTCTCTCCCTCCTCTCCTCACCTTTTTCACAACCCTCTCTCTTCCTGAAGCTGCCCTGCGATACCTTTTTGTAATGAGTCGTGTTTTGAGTCGACTCAAACCACGCACAGCACACACATCCCCGCCCGCCCCCAGGTGCGCATGCTTAGGGACGCAGCCACTTTTGAACCTTCAACTCACCTTCATCATCCTCCTCCTACATTCTCATAATTTCCCTGTCACAACCCCCTGCTCTGAGAACCACTATACAGTAACAACACACACCCTCACTCCCAGATGTGACTGGCAGGCCACGCCAAGGGTTGCAGCCCCTATCAGAGGGAAGGCACAGCAGAAGGCACGTTGACCCAGATGTGCATGGCAGGCCAAGCCAAGGATTGCAGTGCAGCCCCTATCAGACCCCCCCCCCTCACCTTCATCATCATCTTTTTCATCCTCTTTTCGAAGTTGCCCTGTGATAGCTCCCGGCTTTGTTGGTCCTGGAGGCGAAAGAATCATGGGGAAAAATAAGATAAGTCGCCTTTGAGTCAGAATGAAAATAAGTCGCCATGGAGTCAGAATGAAAGAGTACATTTACAAAAAACACGAAGATAGCTTGTCTCATTTGAATCATCATGCAGCCGAAGGAAACATGCCATGTGAAGTGGGGGGGGGGAGAGGGGGGGAAAAGGGGGGGGGATTTTTGAGTCGACTCAAAAGGGGGGGCGATTGGGGGGTTGTTAGAGGAGAATAGGGCAAGAAAAAAAACAGAAACATACAAAGCAAGTGCTAGCCAGCTCTTGCTTTGGCACGAGGATAAAAACGTGAAAGGTTGAATGAAACACACGAAAACGTCTGAAAACATGAAAAAAACGTCTGAAAACACACGTGAAAGGTTGAATGAAACTTGAAAGTGCACCTGAACGGTTGACAACACACCTGAACGGTGGAGAAGATACGAAAGCTTCTGTCGAGGCCAGCTGAGAGAATGTGACGGCCGTTCCTGTAGTACCTGGTGGTGGGTGGGATGCGGTGTGATGCGGTGAGATCGGGTGAGATGTGATGGGGTGTCATGGGATGGGATGGGATGGGGCGTGATAGGGAGGGTGTGATGGGAAAAGCGTTATGAGAATGCGACGTTTGTTCCTTCCTGTAGTGCCTGATAGAGGAAAGAGGAAGAGGAGGCAGTTACCAGAAGAGACTTTTGAGTCGACTCAAAAGTCACCTAAGAGGCAGTTACCAGAAGAGACAGACAGACCTTGACAGCAAGGGCAGCCATACAGCCATTAACTCTTGAGGGGTCTCAAGAACGAGAGGGGGGCAGAAGAGAGACAAAACTCTGCGCTGCACTCTAGCCCCGCCCAATACTCTCAGGTTCTGTCTCCAGACCAGAGCCATGCCATACCTTGAGGCTGTTATCAGCGCCAGCAGAGAGCAGCACGGGCTCGTTAACAAGGAAGGAGAGGGCTGCCACGCGGCCGTCGTGGGCGCCGGGAATGATGGCGTGCAGACAAGGAGGGGTTACCGAGGCAACAGCAGTCGGTACCTTGAGGCTGTTGTCTGCCCCGGCCGATCGCAGAAGGAGAGGGCTGCCACGCGCCCGTCGTGGGCGTCGGGGATGATGGAGTGCAGACGGCGGTTGGTGAGGTGGGCTCCCTAAAGACATACTTGCAATAACCCTATATGAGACAGCGGTCAATACCTTGAGGCTGTTGTCAGCGCCGGCAGACAACAGCAGGGGCTCGTTGACGAGGAAAGAAAGCGCCGCTACGCGGCCATCGTGGGCGTCGGGGATGATGGAGTGCAGGCGACGGTTTGTTAGGTCCCACACGCTAATGGCCCCTCCCATGCCTCCCACTGCAAGCATAGGCGGACCATCTGAGGAGTGAGAGGGGGGTGAGAGCAGCAGGGCACAGCAGAACAGCAGAACAACATGAGCGTTGGGGATGATGGAGTGCAGGCGACGGTTGGTGAGGTCCCACACGCTGATGGCCCCTCCCATCCCTCCCACTGCAAGCATAGGCGGACCATCTGAAGGATGGAAGCAAACACAACAGGGTGAGAGAGAGGGGAGCAGCAGCATGGGTGAAATCACCAGTGCCACCTTGCCATAACTGGATTATTTAACCGAACATTATGCACATGCACCTTGCCATCGCTGCACCCCAATAATGCACCGCACTGAACCGCACTGCACCGTGAAAAAGGACTGACCTGAGTTGAAGGCCAGGGAGGTGACAGCACCAGCAGCAGCGTGGGTGAAATCCACGACTGGTCGATCCAGCCGAATGTTATGCACATGCACCTTGCCATCGCTGCACCCCAATAATGCACTGCACTGAACCGCACTGCACCGTGAAAAAGGACTGACCTGAGTTGAAGGCGAGGGAAGTGACAGCACCAGCAGCAGCGTGGGTGAAATCCACGACTGGTCGATCCAGCCGAATGTTATGCACATGCACCTTGCCATCGCTGCACCCCACTGCCACCGTATCCAACGCAGGCGACCCCACCAGTGCCGTTATCCCCACTGCTTAGCACCCCACTGCACTGCACCTCAGCACCGCACTAAGCTCCATACAGCAGAAGAAGGCTCACCTGAGTTGAAGGCCAGGGAGGTGACGGCGCCGGCAGCAGCGTGGGTGAAATCCACGACTGGTTTATCCAGCCGGATGTTATGCACATGCACCTTGCCATCGCTGCACCCCACTGCTACTGTATCCAACGCAGGTGACCCCACCAGTGCTGTTATCCCCACACCCCACCCCTTGAACTCGTACAGAAGCTTCCTGGAATTTACGTTCCACAGGTGCATGCGCCCGTCTTCTGACGCGAATAGGACCTTGTTGAGATATGTGTCGGGGTGAATTACCCCCGTCGGGTTGAACCCTTCGGGCAGCTGAAACTGCCCGAGAGGCTCGAGAACAAAACCCCCCTGGTCAGGCCCTCCTGGTTTCTTCCCCTCTTCTTTCTCCACTCCACCACCCCCCTCCGTTCCCTCTCTTCCCCCTCCCACCTCCTCCTCATTCTCCTCCCTCTCCTCGCTCCCTGCCTTCCCCTCCTTCCCCTTCCGTTCCTCTCCCTCTCCCCTGGGCGCGTCTCTTTGCGCCCCTCTGACCGGCCACAGGAGCACATGCCTGTCCTCGTCCACTGAGAGGAGGTATTCGCCAAACACCTGCAGCAGCCTGATCTTCGCCTTGTGACCCTTCAGTGTTCCCACCTGCCAGCCAGTGCGCGGGGCAAGAGAAAGAGGCAAGGGAGAGGGTGCTTAAGGCGGGTGAACATGCATGTGTCCCCCTCTGACCGGCCACAGGAGCACGTGCCTGTCCTCGTCCACTGAGAGGAGGTATTCGCCAAACACCAGCAGCAGCCTGATCTTCGCCTTGTGACCTTTAAGGGTTCCCACCTAAAGGAAGGGGGGAGCAGAGGGAAGGGAAGGAGCTAAATGAGGCGCCTCAACGTGTGTCCCCCCTTTTCTGACTGACCAACCGGCCACATGAGCACATGCCGATCCCCGTCCACATGGGTGGGTTCCATTGCACGCACGCCCACACCCACCCACCTGCACCCACCTGCACCCACCTGCACCCATCTGCACCCACCTGCACCCACACCCGTTACCCACCTGGTGTGAGCGGTAGAAGACTGCAATGCCAGTGCTGAAAGCAGCAAGCAGTCATTCAAACTTCGCGGTTCACCCACCTGAACCCACCTGAACCCACCTGAACCCACCTGAACCCACCTGAACCCACCTGAACCCACACCCACGCCCACGCCCGTTACCCACCCACCCACCTGGTGCGATCGGTAGAAGACGGCAATGTCGGTGCCAAAGGCAGCAAAGGTGCGGTCGCGATGAGAGGTGAGCGCACGGATAGACTTGAAGACCCACGCCCACACCCACCAACACCCTCCTGCACCCACCTGCACCCACACCCGTTACCCACCCACCCGTTACCCACCCGTTACCCACCTGGTGCGAGCGGTAGAAGACTGCAATGTCAGTGCCAAAAGCCGCAAACGTGCGGTCACGATGAGAGGTGAGCGCACGGATAGACTTGGGGAGTTCCGATCCTGAGAGGGTTGGGAAGTGGGGTTGAAGCTTTTGGGTTTGGACTTCAAGGGTTTCTGAGGGGACTCAAGTCGCAGCGAAGGTGCGATGGTGATGAGAGGTGAGAGGATATTAGCCTTAGGGAGCTCTGTTCCTACAGGGGTTTAAGGGCAAGGGTTTCGGGTTTAAGATACTAAAGGCACAGCTTACGAAAAAAAACAAAGTTTTAACCATTTCAAAGGTTAATCAAATTACTTGTTGCGAAGATATGCTTAAGGCTCAGTAAGCGAGCGGCTGACGTGCAGATGGGAGAGAGTAGACTCACCAACGAAGACCAGGCGAAGCTTCGCGCACTGATTCCATTTGAAACGGCGTCACGAACACGGCGACGAAACGGGTTACCGGTAACCGCCCAGGTCCAGTTTCGCACGCAATGCCGGATGGGAGAAAGGGAAACAGTAAATCGTAGAGAGGGAAGGGGAAGCATGGACAGGACCGCATAGGGCATGAATGAAGGGAAGAGAAACACGATTAGACAGTAAGATACGACCAGAGAACGAAGGGCACGTGAAGAATCGCCCAAATGCAGCTCTAGCCTGTGGTACTGAACGGTCGCCTGCGTAACACGAACCCTGAACTACCAGTGCTAGCCCATAACCTATTATGACCACACTGTAGGGTATCATACGTACGTTGTAGATTTGCCAGGCGCGACCGACGCTAACGGTTACGTACGTCTCGGTTCCCACCCGCCGTACGGAGAACGGCGTGTCATCTGTGATGTACCCTATCGCCCTGAACGGCTGGAACAGCGGCATGGCTTCCACCCAGCCACTCCGAACAAAACAATTCTCGAGGTGACCGTTGTCTAAGTTTAAGCCTGAGCTGATAACTGCGACACTGGGCAGACGCGGTAAGCACCCAATAGCTGCTGGACCCCTGTCGAATTAGCTGCTGTCTGAGGGGTTCTAAACGCGCCTAAAACCTTGATGCGGCAATAGTGAAGTTCGTTAATATCTCTTTCTTTTTTGGGATTGTCTACTTCTGTAGTTACACTCTCATTCTAGGTATTCCGTTCTTTAAGGCAAACCCCATAGCAGGCCAGCTTAGCTGGAACATTGCATTCCTTTTTTAATTGAAAAAAAACAAAATACCACATTTTTATTGTAAATAGCGGAATACTAATAGTTCATAATACTTAATGTTGCCCTACAATGTATATCGATATAAGAGAGCGCTATTTTATATCATAATATTGTAGAGTTAATTTATAACGGTGGGTGGAGGCTGGGTGTGGGGTGGGGCTTTTGTGGAGCTGTACTGTAATTGCTGCCTCGAGGCTCCGCGTCATCAAGTGTCCCTCCAGGGGCCCGCACCTAGACCAACCGGCACGGCGCCTGATTGGACAGTGAGCGACCTTCATAACCTGCCCCTGATTCACCCAACCTATCAGCTTCGGCGCGGCGGTCTGGGCCAGGGCTCGAGAAGTCAAAAGACGCCCCGCCATGGTTTTCCGAGCCAAACCTGACTTCTAGTCAGACAAGACTTGCGGGAAAGTGCCAGGTTTGCTGGACTTGTTACCTACAATCCTTGGGATAATCCAAAGGTAAGAGCTGATTTCAATTAGAACCCTATACAGCCACTGTATATCTCAAAAAACCGTTCTGAATCGCACACAAGTGAGCTGTCACGACCAACCGCTTCCATCTCATGTAAATTGCCAAATTGACAAAAGCAAGCAGCCTACTTTGAATTCTGATCCTCTTTTACAGCTTTCTCACAAATTCACCTCAGCAGTGACCAGCGTACGTTGCTTGGTATCTGCTGGTGGTTCCCCTCGGTTCTATCGTGATTTCGTTCTCGTTCATTTATCTTCCACCACCCGAATGGCGACTTCCGACGAGACCAAGGGCCTTCGCCCTCCGTCGACCACGATCGCTACGGACATGACACAGGCGCGTCGCTTTCACTCCAGTGCTCTCAGAGAACGCTTAACGAATTTCCTTAATTGCTATATATATTGATTGAAGGTAAAGCATGTTCCTTTCACGAATTTCAATTCCTAACGAGCCGTAATTTGCATTTGCGATGCAGTTGGTCGGCAAGACCCCGATGGTGTATCTGAACAAGGTGACGGAGGGATTTGTGGCCAACATCGCGTGCAAATTGGAGTTCATGGAGCCCTGCTGCAGCGTAAAGGATCGGTACGTTCCGTCTTTGTGTCGTGCTCATATCGCGTATGTCGTGTTTCGTAGTTGAGGCCAACATTGCGTGCAAATTGGAGATCAAGGAGCCCTGCTGCAGCGTCAAGGACTCGTACGTTCCATCTGTTTGTCGTCTTTCCGCGAGCCTTGCTCATGTCGCGTATGTCGTGTCTCCGTACCTTGGGCAACGTTGCGTGCAAGGAGGAATCCGGTACATTTCGTGTATGTCTGTCATCTTTCCGCCGTGCGTCGTGTTCATGTAACTGCGGATCACGTGTATTAGTGCTCGTGTCGGATACGTCGTTATTCCGCTGTGTGTCATAGCATATGTATGTCATGTTTCCGTGAAATTCAGCTTCCGAGAATCACGTCCTTGCTTGTTGTGGTGTCTATGTCTTACCTCTCCTTTTGTGTCTAACATGTTACTGTGAAATTCAGCGTCTAAAATTGGCAAGGCAGTGCTCTGAAAAAAAAAAAAACACAAAAAAAAAAAACCCTGTTAATTGCTTATGGCTGTGTGTTTCGTGTTCCCTGTTTGTGTGCATGTGCGTTTCTCCCCCATCCCGTTCAGTATTGCCGTGAGCATGATCACAGACGCGGAGGAGAAGGGCCTCATTACTCCAGGCAAGGTACGGATTTGGGTGGACGCTCGTTGTTCCCTTGTCTTTTATATTGTTTCTGCCGTGTTCTGTTCAGTATTGCCGTGAGCCTGATCACAGGCGTTGAAGAGAAGGGCCTCATCATTCCAGGCAAGGTACCGTATGGAGTTCGGACATGCTTCTCTAATAGACAGCCCGTTACAACTCGCATCGGCCTTTGTGGCGGCAGCGAGAGGCTACCAGCTCACTCGCACCACGCCCGCCTCCATGAGCCTCGAGCGCCGCGTGCTGCTCCATGCTTTCAGGGCAGAGCTGGTCCCGGGCGCACCTGATGCTGCTGCTGCATGTGAATCTCCCCTTCCCCTGCTCCCTCCCTCCCGTTCCCCGCCCCCCTGTCCCCCCACACAACAGAGCGTGTTGGTGGAGCCGACGAGTGGCAACACAGGCATCGGACTGGCCTTCGTGACGGCAGCGAGGGGTTACCAGCTCACCCTCACCATGCCCGCCTCCATGAGCCTCAACTTGAGCGTCCCATGCCGCTGCTGCTCCCTCTCCCCCCTCCGCCCTCCTCTCCCTTTCAGAACACCCTAGTAGAGCCCACCAGCGGCAACACGGGCATCGGACTCGCCTTCGTGGCGGCAGCGAGGGGCTACCAGCTCACCCTCACCATGCCCGCCTCCATGAGCCTCGAGCGCCGCGTGCTGCTGCGCGCGTTCGGGGCGGATCTGGTTCTGACTGACCCCGCAAAGGGCATGAAGGGCGCGATTTCAAAGGCCGAGGAGATTGTGGCAAACACCGAAGGCGCTTACATGCTGCAGCAGTTTGAAAACCCGGCGAATCCCAAGGTGAGAGTGAAGCAGGGTGTGTGAGGCGAGGTGATAACAAGGTGAGAAAGAGGGGAGGAAGTGTTTGAGGCGAAGTAATCCCAAGGTGAGAGAGGGGGGAGGGTGTGAGACGGGATAATCCCAAGGTGCTGAGAGGGGGGAGGGTGTGAGACGGGATAATCCCAAGGTGCTGACGGACCCTGCCAAGGCCATGAAGGGCGCGATTGTGAAGGCCGAGGAGATTGTGGCTTGTACGGAAGGCGCTTATATGCTGCAGCAGTTTGAAAACCCGGCGAATCCCAAGGTGAGAAAGAGGGGAGGGTGTGTGTGATGATGAGGTAACCTCGAGGGCGAGAAAGAGGGGAGTGTGTGAGACGAGGTAATCTCAATCTGATATAGAAGGGAGGGAGTTTGTTGCTGCAATTCCTGACAGACCCTGCCAAGCGCATTACTGGTGTGATTGAGAGAGTGGAGGGGGTTGTGGCTTGTACTGAAAGCGCTTATATGCTGCAGCAGTTTCAAAACCTGACGGTTCCCAAGGTGAGTGAGACAGTGAGCGAGGGTGTGTGTCGGAAAATTGTGAGCTGACAACGAGGGGAGTATGTGAGGCGTGGTGTTCTGAAGGTAAGGGGGAGTCGAAAACGTAAATGTTAAAAAAGGTGAAGGTAACAGAGCATCCAGCTGGTTTCCCTCTCTCTGGTGTCTTGTCTTCCTTCCCCTTGTCTTTCTCAAGCCTCCCCTCTGTTTCCTGCCCCCTACCTTTCTTCAGGTGCACTTGGAAACCATGGGCCCCAAAACTTGGGAGGGCTCGAATGGCCATTCTGGTGTCTGCCTGTGAGCGTTTTC